ATTAGTTCAGTGCCAATGTGATCCCTCCCCCGCACCCTTTCCTTTCTTCACACAACAAACAGGTGCCACGTCAGTGACGTGACAACCGACAACGACCGAACCACACTTTAATCACCGCCACCTTCCCCAACCATGGTTCGACGCCCCAAACCACCACTACACATGCCAACAACAACAACAACGAGGCGACGCCACATCACCAGCCAAATGGATGACAGGTGACGGTGACGACCTGGCATGTCAACGAGTGCCCAACACCATGAAAAGTGACGAATGCCCAGCACCACCACTCGAGCCCAGGTGAGTCGTTACAACCCTGTCATCTCACTCCTTCCTTTGACATTGAATCCAGGTGCTACGTCGCTGTTAGCAACGTGGCAACCAAACGACGAACAACGGCCAATTCGTCGTTCATTGTTGTCATCCATCTTATGACCCACCGGTGAGCACCCCTGTCCCAACCCACGTCTCTAACATTACATGACACAATGATGACACCGCGCTGCAACGACGACACGACGACAATGACAGTGGACGGTGGAACGACCGACACAACGACATCTGATGACACGACAAGAAGAGGGGGGCGCCACCTTGACTTATGTACTGATTGATTAGACTACATAGTGTACATTATACCTGACCCTAATGTCCACCCGTTGTGGGTTTTCGACCCCCCAAACCCTGTACAAACCCCTACCACCACCCCTGAAATACCCTTACCCATGGAAAGGGTACGGGTTTGCATCAGGTAAGGGTAAAGGTAGGTGTGAAAACACCCGCGGGTTACCCGTGCTCATCACTAAACATACATAGGTTGATAATATTGTGCATGATTGATAAAAGCCAGACTTGTAATTCTAAGTACTCAACTGGATGATCGTCGCTGGCATGTCACCAACACCCTGGTGGAGGGCAGCCCTGCACTGGGTTATGACATTCAAGGTACACCCAGCCACTCCAGTGGTATGGGACATTGTTGCTGATGGCCCACACATAGTTACTGGGACACTGTTCTTCGAGGGAGGGAGGACACCATTTGTCAAGGGAGGGAGGATGCCATTTGTCAAGGGAGAGAGGGGGCCATTCATTGAGGGAGGAAGAAGACTGTCCTTTGAGGGAGGGAGGAGGCTGTTCTACCTAATACACAGGAGTAGTGTTTAAAGGTTCAGTCCATAGGACTGCAAAAACTGGTGGACTGAACTGAACTGGACCATGGTCCGGTCTTTTTTTTGGTTGCAGTTGCCCAAATTTGGGGTTGGTCCGGTTTCTGGTTGCCTCATTTCAAAAATCTTTTAAAACCGTTCAAAGACTGGTTTTAATCAGTTGCAACCAGTTAAACGGTCACATGCGTTACATAGCCTTGTAACCACGTTTATTACCTTTTATTGGGTTTTTGTTTCATCAAAAACAGTTAAGAATTGAGAAAGATATAACCAAATCCATATTTTACCCAAGTCTCTAGGAGATGTAATTTGGCTTCATTCATAGCTATGTCAAATCTTCATTAAATCTCTTAAAAATTGGTAGAATGACGGGTAGTTACATGCTTTACTATGGTATATAACCTGTTTATGTTTCAGAGTAATAATAGTTGAGGTACAAATGGTTTATATTGGTATAATAAATGATACACAAAAAAACCAGTCTAGATCGGTCTGAATCAGTTCCATAGACTGCAAAAGACCAGTCCTAGGTGGTTCAGTTCGGTTCCCTCAATATCTGGGTTGATCCTAGACTGGTTGTGGTCCATGGTTGTGTGTTTTGGGGGCAAAAAACCAGACTGAACTGAACTTGTGAACACTACACAGGAGGCCATTCATCAGAAGGAGGTCATTCTTTGGAAGGAGGTTATCCATTGGGAGGAGACCATTTGTTGAGGGAGGGAGAAAACCACTTGCCAATGAGAAGGCCATTCATCAATGGAGGGAGGAGGCCATCCCCTGAGGGAGGCTTTTCATTGAGGGAGGGGGAAGACCATTCATTGAAGGCAGGAGGAGGCTGTTCGTCAGGAGTAGGCCATTCATTGAGTGAGAGAAGCTGTTTGTTGAGGAAGGAAGAAGACTGTTTGTTGAGAGAGGAGGCCATTTGTCAAGGGCAGTAGGAAGCCATTTGTTGAGTCATCAAAAGACATGGCCATCTGTTCAACATCTGTTGATGTGGTGGAAAGGAAGAACTATGAGTTTTCGCATTGTCAACGTGATTGCATGATATCGGAGTTTGAACAGACTTGAATGGAATGTTTGGGTTTAGTTTGTCATTGTCCTTTCACACGAATGCATCAAGCTTGGCAATCAAGATAGTGTGAGATTTGAGGGAGTACTTGTAAAGTACATGTAAGTATGACTAGGACATGCCTGAGCTATGACTACAAGACAACCAGTCAGTGATTCCATACAAACACATGACTTTTTACTCACCTTCTCAAGACTTTTAATTGACTGTGTCTGACTCTGCTTTTTACTGAGGGTTAGCATGGAGAAAGAATAGTGTTTGAAAGTCTGGTTCGGTCCGGTTTTTTGATGCCCAGGGGTGTTAACCGTAACCGTAACCGGTCTGCCTTTTCCCCAGAAGTCAAAAGACCAGACCAGACTGGTTTCGGTCTGTATCGGTTTTAACCGGTTTATGACCGGTCTTTAGGCCAATATTTTAAAATTATGAATCGGTAAATTTATTAACATCTCTAATAGCTTCAAAACGAGCCCAAGAACGTTAAATTCCGTTAGGAATTGGTGCTTCTATAAAATAAGTCTGGTACATCTATTATTCCCAAAAGTAATTTACATTTTAATTCATATCTCTCTCGTTTTTTTACCAAATTGTACGTTCTTGGGTGCGTTTTAAAGGGTATTTAAGGGGCTACAAAAGACCGGTCCAAACTGGTCAAGACCGGTTCACGTTAACCGGTTTTTTTGCGGTCTTTACATTTCAAAAATAAAAGACCATAACCGCAGGTCCGGTCTTTTGCGGTCTTGGTCCGGTCTGGTTATGGTCTTTTTCCAGTCACAAGACCGGACTTCCAAACACTAAGAAAGAAGGTGTCATGGTGAAGGGTTCATCCTGGGGATGTCTCAGCATAGGGCATGGGTGTGGGATGGTTCGTGACAGCTGCATCCACAGGTCAACACACCATTAAGAATTAAAATTTGCAAATGGAATGGATTTCAGAATTTGTCTCTTTGGCAGGCAAAACTTATTTTGAGCAAACCTTCATTTTGGAAACACAGTTGCAGATAAATTCAAATAACAAGTGCATCAATTTTATTTATTCTGTCGGTGAACAATGGGAAAACACACTGTGAAAATTAACATTGTCCCATAGACCTGTCCTAATCACAAAAAAGGTGCATAAATGTTTCATTTGTCAAAGATCTTTCCAAGGCTTTGCTCAACTGCCCAATCATCCCTTGTTAAATGTTTGAGGTGCTTACTATGACAGGCTACCTTGTAGGGTATCACTCAGCCATG